CAGCAGCCCAGGCAGCAGACAGGTAAATACCAAGGCCAAGCTCACAGTGAGCAGCTGAGTTCTTCTGGCTCAGCCCGGACCCTGCTAAGTCTACTGCGAAAACAGATTAAATGTATTAAAAATTCACACCTCAGGCTGTGGCCAAAAAGACAGCATTCAAACTTGCCAGCATGCAAATTCTGGGGTGCTGAGGAGAAAGGGAACGTGCCTTTTTTACACCGTCCATTCACAGAGTGAATAATCTTCTTATGAGGAACATGTTAAACTCTTTTTAAACACTTTTTAAAAATTAGTTATCCCCGGGGTTGGAGAGATGGCTCAGCAGTTAAGAACTAACTGTTCTTGCAGAAGACCCAGATTCGAATCCCAACACCCACATGGCACCTAACAACTGCCCATAACTCCAGTTCCAGGGGATCTGACAGTCTCTTCTGTCTTCCTCAGGCATTGCACGACATGGGTGCACTTACCTACATGCAGGTAATATGTGCAAACACATAAAATAATAATAATAATAAATAAAATATTTTTAAAAATTAGTTATCCCCAAACAGACCCAGTTAGGAGATCAACTTGTATTATTAAACAAAATAGGCACAAAAAATTCAATACTGTAGGTCTCTTCCCCCATAATTCTAAGCTCTAAAACACTATTAAATCCAAGATACTGTCATATTTAGTTTTGTTTTTGTTTTGTTTTGTTTTTGAGACAAGGTCTCCTTGTAGTCCCCGCTGGCCTGGAACTTGCTATGTAGACCAGGTTGGACATGATCTCACAGAGATCTGCCTCTGCCTTCCAAGTACTGGGATTAAAAGGTGCCCAGCAAGACACTGTCATATTTAAATGCTGGTGCAGAGCTCTCAGGTGTTAGCATTGGAAACTGGCCCCAACCCCCATCTCCTGGTCTAACCCTCCCTGTGATCTGCACAAATCTGTATAAGCTGCTGCATCCATTTCAATCCTTATCATATAGAAAACAGGCTCAATGTACATGTGCTGACTGATGTGTGGGTGAATGAACGAGTGGATGGATGGATGGATAGATAAACTCAGGGCTAGGCAAAGAACGAACACCTTGTTGGAGCTTTCTCTGAAGTTTTATAAGGTACAAATGCTGGTTTATTTTGGAACTAGAGATATGTCACATGCTAATTCATAGGGGGAAAGCACATGAGCGAGAACTCTTAAACCAGAGAAATGGATGTTGTTGACTACAAACACACGGATGGTACGAGAACCTCAAAGATCAAGAACAGGAAATGGGAGGTGTCACTTTCCAAATTTCCCAAATCCTCAGCATCCCCATGATAAACACAGTGTCAGAACCTTCCTAAGCTAGGCATCTTCTTTTCCCAAAAGCCTGCAGGCCCTAGAAAGATAATGATGCTTCGGGGCTGTTCCACCCCTTGGTGCTTCTGAGAGTGAAAGCTCCTGAAGGCTGGAATGAATGCTCATCTCTCAAGCCCATGCCATGGTCAAGGCTGCAGGGCAAGGTGAGAGTCCAGCCCCAGAAGAGGGCACACCTCTATCCCACAGAGAGGATGTGCCTGGCACAGGTCAGATACTCGAATACCATGGAGAGGAACAGAGACAGTTGCCTGGACTCATGGACTCATGGGAGATCTACAAAAGACAGACTACAAAAGATGGATGAAGTAAACTGTACAAGATGCTTGGTCAACGGGTGTGGGATAACTCAAGAAAAGGGACGGAAACCACGGGCTGAGGAGAGACTCAGTGGTTAAAGTGCTTGCTGCTCAAGTCTGAGGACCATAGTTCAGATCCCCAGGACCCATGTAAATGCCAGGTGGGTATGAGAGACCACCTATAATTCCAGTCTGGGAAGGAGGAGATGTGGGATCATCAGAGCAAGCTGGCAAGCAAGACCAGTCATACTGATGAGCTCTGGGTTGGATTGAGACACCCTGCTCCAATGAATTAAGTGCAAAAACCATGGAGGATGATTCTCAGCATCAACCTTGGGCCTCCATGCATGCTCACATGTGTGCATGAGCACCCACACCCACACATGTGCCTGTTCACATACAAAAATTCCATGCATACACACACACACACACACACACACACACACACACACACACACATGAAAATGGGGAGGGGGTTGGAAAACAAACCCTACAAAGCTGTCCTTAAATGAGCAAAGGCGAAAGCCTGATTTTTGTCAAGCCCACAGCTGCCTCGGTTGCCTGCAGATGGAGATAAAGCCTCCCACGTCTACCTCTGGGGCAGATGTGATAAGTTTGATTGTGAAATTCAGTTAGGTGCCTTCTGCAGGGCACCTCCTCCTCCTTTTTTAGAAATCAGTAACTGTTGACAGCCAATCAAAAACAGCAAACAGTCTGGTTTTACCTCCCCTGCAGCAGGAGCCAAGAGGGGCTGTGGGCCAGAGCCTGAGGTTGGCCCCGCATGCTGGCACAACCCACCGAGGCCTAATAAGAGCTGTTGCTGGCCTCTCAAATCACACCCCTGTATCTGGGAGTGGTCGCAGCGTCGAGGCTTAATGCTGTGGCCCAAACCAAAACCCAGGGATGCCAGTGTCACCAATGGCTTGGTCCTTCCCAGCAACATGTTTGTTCTTGGGCAGGGGGGTCAGTATGGCATTCATTACACCAAAATGATTGCTAGGTGTATTCCAGATTTAAGTACACAAACCTTGCAGAAACCCTGTGATTTGTGTTAAGGATGGGGGTAAAGAGCAGAGTTGCCTGGCTCTAGAAGTTCTCCATAGGATATGGATAGGGCAATGCTGGCCAACACCATATCTGCCACATACAACATTAAAGTCCTAGAGGAGCATTCCTGAGCCCTGGCATGGGGTCCCCTCCTCACTTCGGCATCCACATTTCTAGGGTTGGGTACATCTGCCCCAATCTCAAACACAGCCCAACAGTCTCCCTGGCAAACAGGACCCTCCCACTCCTGGTCTTTTCACCAGGCTGGTCATCCCACCTACTTCCAGAATCACTGGCCCCCTCCCGCAACCAGCCCTGTAGATCTCAGTCTACAACTCACTTCCCCTGTGGGGGGCCACAGTGACCTTGTTCCCTTAGGCCCTGCACTTCCCATTTATACATGCATCACACTTGCAGAGCTTTGTACCTAAAGAAGTCATCGGGTTTGTCCCACTGATGGGCATCTCTAAGGCTTTTCACGATGCCTGGCACTGAGCAGGTACTTCAAAGACTGGCAGCTTCAGCTGATGGATGCACAAAGAGCAGGTGTGCGGGGGGATGGTTGGGTGGCCTCCAGGCACTGTTTAAGCCCAGACCTCCTCTTCCTGTTGGTACAGCAAGGACAGGCTTACCCCTCCTGTGCCTCCCTCTGAACCCTGACCGTCAAAGAACAAGGCAGATGAAGGGCACAGCCTCCTGACTCTGAGCTAGGCACTTACTGTGAGACTAGTCACACCAGGTACACAAGGCCAGCACACAGCTATGGTTCTCTGGATTCTGTCTTCAACACTAAGGACAGAGGGGACCTCAGCCCTGAAACCTACCTTTCCAAAGCATATGGGACTTCTCAGGTTCCCCTGAGACCCTTTCCCACCTAGGATGCTCTGGGAAGAAAATGTAAGACAGAAAAGCCAAGGTCATGCCTAGTGAGGACTTCCTAGGTCAGCCTGGGAAATTCAAGTCAAAGGAACCATCTTAGAATCACTCCTTGTTCACTCCAGATAGGAAACAAGGCCACTGACTACTCCATCCTGGGGAAAGAGCCCTGGAGGAAAGCAGCAAGAGGTGTTTTCTATGCTGTTATCTGCGAACACTTACTGGCCGCTGGCCCTGAAGAGTCCAGATTTTAGGGACAGAGCCTCCAATCTGTCAGCCCACAAGCTACATCTGTCAAGGGAGATGTTTTGTTTAGAAGGCAAGGTTTTAAACTTTTAAAAAATTAATCCCAATATTGACAAATTAGATGGTTTCACATCAGTCAGGACTAGTGGCACAAGCCTGTAATTCCACCTGCTCAGAGTGCTAAGGCAGGTCAAAGCCTGGTAAGGCTACAGAGTGTGTTCAAGGCCAGCCTGGGCAACTTAGTGAGACCCTGACACAAAAGTAAAAATAAAGCAAAACCAGGGCTAGGCGTATATCTCAGTCATGAAGTGCTTGCCGACCATGGGCCATATCCTAGATTCAATCCCCAGCACTGAGGGAAAAAAAATTCAAATGTTCAGAAGGAAGAAGGATCCCCCATGTCCTAGGGACAGAAGAATGTAAGTGGGCAAGCCAAGACCTGGGGCATTCCCAGCAGTGAGCTGAAGACAGGTGCAAAGTGCGGGAAGCCCAGCTAGCTGGACCCTGAGGATGCGGTACAGGCTGGAAGCAGGCCAGAGCATCCTCTGTTGGGCCCCATCCCAGCCACTTCCTACATCTTGCCCCAGAAACCTCATTCTTTCACAGACTTAGTCTTTAGTATCCTTTTAGAAAGATAAGGGGACAGATACTCATTTCTCATATCCAACCTTCAATGGTAGAAAATCTAGCTACCACACCTCTGGTAAAAGACACACACATTCTGGGAGAACAGTCAGAAACTTCCTATGTAAGGTGTCTGCCAACTACCAGAGGCTTACAAAGATTCACGAACAGGCGGTTCATCTGATGAACTGTGTACTTTCATGGTTACACATCTGCTAATCACTTGATTATGTATGAAAACACCAACATCAGCCTCTGGGGGAGACATCCTCATGACTTATTCATGAAGAAAATACTTGTTGTACACAAAAGAAAACTGAATGACATTAAAACATAATTTCTTTCTTTGAATATCAAGTCCATTGAGAAATGGATTTACTCACTCTTTTTTTTTAATTAATACTTGATCAACACGAGGTACCTAATCGTACATTAAATCTTCCTTCCAATCTGAGAAGAGTTGGGACAATTTCTCAATCTAGGCAGCGGGCAGCTATGACCATACAATGAGAGGAAAAAAAAATAATAATCCTGGAAGTAATATAAAACAGAAGAGATACCTGGTTCTTATCCTGCGTTTTCTTAAAATCTTCACATGCTAGCCAAAACAGGACATTTTCCTCACTGAATTCCTTTTTCAGAAATTCCTATGGATTAAAAAAGGGAGAAAAATCATATAGTACTCAACTTTTAAAAAAAATGTGATGAACTGCCTTTCAAAGATGACTTGGCCAAATTGAAGAGAGGAGCCTGGTTTAATCACCCCTTGAATCCTCCACCCGGAAACCCAAAGAGTGTGTTTAATGTTAAAGTGAGAATTTCATACGCATTTCACCCTAATGGTTTTGACATTGCAAGGCAGAATAAAAATGAAGCGGGATCCACTCACATTTCTAAGCTGACAATAAATTACCAAAAAGTAAATTAAAGGGGAAGATATATTAGTTCCTTCCAGACACTGTTTAAACAAAGTGCATTCCTTCAAAACCAGGCCCATTTTTTTTAAACAAAAGAAAAGAAAACATATTAAGCATGTCTAAAATGCAGAGATGGAGACCATTTTAAGTTGGAGGTATGTTCTCCTGGGGCTGTTAGTGAGTACTGAGTTCATGGCCAGCTCTGCTGCTGCCTTCGGACATCCCTGACATCCAGACAAACCTGACTGCCACTTCCTCCCTGGGAGTTCCACGGAGGCAAGTGGTATCCTGACTCATCACTTAAAGACCCACATTGCTGAGGGTCCATGTTGGATTTCACATGTGGTCCTCCAACTGGCACCAGCAGTCTTGCTGGAGGGAAAAGTGATTTCTCAGAGGTGTGAGCCCTTCCCCACCCATCAACCCTGCTTTGGAGATTCCCTCCCAGTTTCACTTTACTAGCCATCCTTTCTCATCGGCAATAGTATGGTTCTGAGATTAGAAAGAAGAAGCCTTACACCAAGAGACCCAAACCACCCCTGCCAGTACTGGAAATTCTTCTTACAGATCCTACCACTGGAAACAGCACCCTTTCCCATCTCCCCCACACCACCTAACTATATGAAAACCAGCGACAGGTTGCATGCCTCTTGGAGGAGGTCCATGGTTAGCCAGGAGAACACTGTCAATGTGGTCCCAACAGATGAACAGTTCTTACCCCCTAGTTGGCCAGGCAGTGCTAAAGACTGGCCTGGCTCTTACCCCACCCCCTTACACATCTGAACTTCCCCTTTGCATCAATCCTGATGAACAAAGGAAAAAGCAAACCCTAAATCTCTTCACGCCTTCTGGGTCTTCCAGCAGGCTCTCCAGGGAGGCAGCCCACTTGGCTGTGCTCTTGTGGCCCTGGTGGCTGCTGCTCGAACTCCCATCGCTGTCATGGATGTCTGAAAAACAAGGTTTGGACAATGTCACCACCTGAGGATTATGTCTCTGTAGATGGCACATATAAAGAGAATTTTGTAAATCTGCATCCAGAGGACATCACCACTGTCACCACCATGAACACACCTAGACTCATCCCAGTGAGGTGGGAATCATCATTCCTTCCATTCTACAGGTAGAAAAACTGAGGCTCAGGGTGAAAGGATTTGCCACTTCTATGATAGTCTGTCCCATGTTTTCATTGACTCTTGAGTCCCTCTCCAAACCTTCTTCCCAGGACCCTAGACTCAACAACAACTTTCCATTCCTTCCTTTTTTGTACAATTTTATGGTGTTGGGTTGGACCACTGGCAGGACTAACTCCCACAAATCTGAAATCTCCCATAGATAGATGATTGATTGATTGATTGATTGATTGATTGATTGATAGATAGATAGATGATAGATAGATGATAGATAGATAATTGATAGATAGATAGTTGAATGATAGATAGATAGATGATAGATGATAGATAGATGGATGATAGAGAGATGATAGATGATAGATAGATAGATAGATAGATAAGATAGATGATAGACAGATGATAGATAGATAGATGATAGATAGATTGATAGATAGATAGATAGATAGATAGATAGATGATAGATAGATAGAGATCTAGATATCTAGCTAGCTATATGTTTTTTGAGACAGGGTTTCCCTGTAGCCCCAGCTGGCCTGGAACTTGCTATGTACACCAGGCTGACCTCGACCTCACAGAGATCCGCCTGCCTCTGCCTCCCAAGGGCTGATTAAAGATGTGCGCCACCACACCCGGCTAAAATCTCCTCTATATTAATAGCCTCAGCTATAGTATAGGGTGGGACCAGGACTAGAATAAGGACGTCAACAAAGGAGTTGCCAAAACACTCAGGCGTCAAGATAAATATCTTCATGTAATTTTTTTTTAATCAAAATTAATGAAAAAAAAGTATGTGACAGGGCTGGGCATGCAGTTCATTGGTGGTATGTTTTTTAGCATGCACAAAGTCCTGGGCTCCATCCCTAGTCCCAGAAAAAAAATAAATTCATGATGAACAGACACTAAAATTTCTAAAAAAGAAAAGACTAGGATTCCCAGCATTCTTTTCTACCTGGACCTCCAACGTGGCTTAACACCTACTGTTATGTATCCTGTTTTTATTTAAGTTTTTTCTGTTTGGTTTTTTTAAAAGATTCATTTTTATTCATGTTGTCTCTCTCTCTGTGTTTGTGTGTGTGTTTGTGTGTGTGTGTGCATGCCAGATTTGCTGGTGCCACGAAGGCTAGAAGAGGACATCAGATCCCCTGGAGCTGGAGTTACAGGCAGTTGTAAGGCACCTGATGTGGGTTCTGGGAACTGAACTCAAGTCCTCTGGAAGGACAGTATGTGTTCTTAACCACTGAGCAATCTTTCCAGGCCAAATTTGATTGAAAAACAACAACAACAACAATACAGCATTAGCCACAGATGTGGTTCAGTTGGGAGAATTCTTTTTTTTTTTTTTTTTTTTGGTCTTTTTGAGACAGGGTCTCCCTGTAGCCCCAGCTGACCTGGAGCTCACTACCAGGCTATAGTGAGCAGACCAGGCTGGCCTTGAATTCACAGAGATCCACCTGCCTCTGCCTCCCTGCACCACCACGTCCGGCACAAAGCCCTGGGTTCCATCCCCAGCACCACAGAAAAGCAGGCACGGTAACACATGTCTGTCATCCCATCACTTGAGATGTGGAAGCAGGAGGATCAAAAGCACAAGTCAGGGCTGGAGAGCTGACTCAGCGGTTAAGAGCACTCACTGGCTGCTCTTGCAGAGGACCCGGGTTCGATTCCCAGCACTCACATGGTGGCTAACAACTATCCGTAACTCCAGTTCCAGGGTATCTGATGCTCTCTTCTGACCTCCGTGAGCATTGCATGACACAGATGCACTTACATACATACAGGCAATACACTCATACACATAAATAAAAAATAATAAATAACATTTTTTTAAAAGTTCAAAGTCATTCTCAGCTGCATACTGAGTTCAAAGCCAGCTGGCTACATGAGACCCCATTTCAGAATAAATGAGGAAATGAATGAATGGCATTAAATGTCACTGACCTGAGGAAGCCCTATAGCATGTCAGCACATAGAGATTACTACACAGAACATCTTTCACTGATTGACTCAATACTTAACACCCTCTTGAATGAAGGGGAAGGGGACAGGAGATCTCTGACTGTCACACTGTGGCCACTTGGCCAAGGGAGGAAGTAACTGTTAAAACACGTCTCAGGTTACAGAACTGGACCCAGTCATGGAATCATGAGAAAACCATTGAGGTGTCACTTTGGTTGAGTCAAAGTTCAAAACTGAGCTTGACTAATGCAAGGTATAAGGCCTTGGGTAAAATTCCTGTGTGCATTTGAAGATAAGCCTCTGATCTCTAGGATTATCTGAATGAGTCAGGACAGAAGCACAATTTGTCCATTTCACAATAGCAAGTAGAGAGGATTTTGAAGGTTCCCAACAAAAATAAATAATAAACACTGGAAATAATAGATACGGCAATTACCTTGACCTGATCCTACATACTATATCCTTATAAATGTCCCACTGTACCCAATAAATATGTACAATTATTATGTGTCAGATTCAGGACAGAATATAGGAAGTATATCAGAGGCCTGACAGCAAACCATATTAGTCCCTTTTCCCCCTTCCCAGAAAGAACGATTTACTGAATGAACTGTTTTTACAGATAATACTTTCTTGCCCATTGACATTTTTGTCCCCAAAGCAAGAGACAAATTTATATAAACGAAATCTTGAATCTAAGAAAAAATTAACTTTTTAATTAATAAAGTAGGGGACTAGAGACATGGCTTAGTGGTTAAGAGCACTGGCTGCTCTTAGGGAGGACCTAGGTTGAATTCCCAGCAGCCACATGGCAGCTAACAACTGTCTGTAACTCCAGTTCCAGGGGATCCAATGCCCTCTTTCTAACCTCCATGATCATTTCAGAACAGAGGTGCACTTATCATGCATGCAGGCAATATACTTAAACACATAAAATAAAAATAATAAAGTATTTTAAAATTAAAAAAGAAATGACAAAGCAAATCACCTTTAAAGCATGAATAAAAAATCATCACTTATTAATCACTGAAAATAACTAGTGAGTCTTAGAGCTAAAAATGTTTTTAAAGAAGATTTGTATCAGAATATACTGGACTTGGGGTTGCGGAAATGGCTTATTTGGTGAAATGCCCAAGGAACTAAGTTTGATCCTTAGTGCCCACATAAAAAATCGGAGCGCTGAGGCACACGTTGTTACCTCAGCACTGGGGAAGTGGAAGAAGAATGCCCAAGGCTTGCCGGTCAATCGGCCTTGCTGGATTGGTGAACCCCAAGCCAGTAAAAGACTCTGTCTCAAAAACCAAGGTGGACAGCTCCTAAGGAACAGCACCCAAAGTCGTCCTCTGACTTTAACATGCATGTGTACATATATGCATGTGTATCTACACATATGTACACACAAGAATATATTGCTTAACACTAACAGCTTCTGTGATCTCTGATGTCCTTTTTGGGAGTAAAACAATACATCTTAACTTGAGTTTTGTTTTGTTGGGACAGGGTCTCAGCAGGTAGTGTCTGCTGGCCTGAAACTTAGAACTCTGTGTAGCCTTCCCAGTGTTGGGATTACCCGTTTGTACCACCACACCCAGCTTCATCCCTTAACCTCTTAATTTGCTGAGACTCTACCTCCTGCACCTTAATAAAACAGAACCAGAAACTCAGGGGCAGCACTCAGGGGCATCAATATTCATGAATGAGACAGTATGTGAGAATATTATTTGGGACAAAACTCAGTGTTGGGATTACCCGTTTGTACCACCACACCCAGCTTCATCCCTTAACCTCTTAATTTGCTGAGACTCTACCTCCTGCACCTTAATAAAACAGAACCAGAAACTCAGGGACAGCACTCAGGGGCATCAATATTCATGAATGAGACAGTACGTGAGAATATTATTTGGGACAAAACTATTCCTCTAATCAAAAGGCAAATTCACTGGAACACTTGGCCAAATGACCCCGATAGTTTTCCAAAGCGACTCTCCAGCTCCTGTAGGAAATTAGTTTCTGGCTCCTTATCAATCCTGGATGGCAAGCTCCTGGATGTGGAGTTTCTCTCCACATATCAAATTAAAAAATCATCATTACAAGAAATTCCTGCAGCGAGGCTCATTCTGCCAAGCAGTCCTCTAACTTACCCTTCTGTTCCCTGCCTAGAGAACACAGTTTGATGGTTTATTCTGTGGCCCCAGTAGATCCTCTACTGTAAATAAACACTGGGACACAAGTGCACTGTTCCAGGAACTACCCCAGGCAGCCACAAGCTCTGCCCTAAGTTTTCAACCATGGTCTGAAAGGATGCCAACATTCCTGGCACTCTTTTCAATAATCAGCCACACTGTGCTAAGTGTTTCACTGCCATGCTCCCCAGCAAATAATGTACATGCGGTTTCTCCAACGGTGCCCAGAGAGTTGAGAGCTGGCCCGATGCTGGGAATTGCAGACCACCCCCTTTACTGCATATGCTAATTGCATCTGTCTATTAGCTTTCTGTGGGAGCTTTCTGTTAAAGAGTAAGATGGCTCAGCTGGTATCCGAGTTCCGTCCCCAGCACCCATGTAAAAAGCCCAGAGTAGCAGTGCAGCTATAATCCAGTGTTGAGGGAGGCAGGGACAGGAGGATCACTGTGGCTCACTGACTAGGCAGTCTAGCTGAATCTGGAAACTCCAGGTTCAGTGAGAGACCACTACTCATACCAAGGAGAAAAGTGACTGAGAAAGACATCTGACATTGACTGGTGGCCTCCATACACATACTGTGTGCATGCGTGCACATGCACACACAACTCCAGATCCACTAATCTAGACTAGCCTCATTTTATAGACTGGGAAACAAAAGTCAAGAAAATGACGTGTCCA